CCGATGGCAGGTCATTCTGGTGTCACTAGGACGTTCCTGCGGCTATCCTTAACATTTTATTGGCCGAATATGCGACGTGATGTCATTAAATTCATAGCAGCTTGCCTTCCATGCCAACAGACTAAATATTGCACCCAAGCACCAGCTGGTTTACTTCAGCCATTACCAATCCCAGCGCAAGTTTGGGCAGAGGTTTCAATGGATTTTATCACCGGGTTGCCGGTATCTCAAGGTAAATATGTCCTTATGGTAATGGTGGACAGATTGAGCAAGTACACTCATATTGGAGCTCTTCCGTCACACTTTACTGCAGCGAAGGCAGCAGACTTGTTCGCTGATATTGTGGTCAAACACCATGGCTTCCCGGAATCCATAATATCTGATCGTGACCCTATTTTCCTAAGCAAGTTTTGGGATACCTTGTTTACACTTAGCGGCACTACTTTGCGTCGTAGCACTGCATACCATCCTCAAACGGATGGCCAGACGGAGGTCATGAATCGCACTATAGAGCAATATTTACGGGTATTTACGCATAGCAGGCCTGAGAGATGGGCATGGTACCTTTGTTGGGCAGAATACTGCTTGAACACAAGTCACCACACTGGAATTAAAATGACTCCCTTCCAAGCTTTATATGGCAGGTTACCGCCAACCATCCCACAGTATACCAAAGACGCAACCACCAACCAGGCAGTAGACGAGTTGTTGGTAGAGCGTGACCAGTTGCTACGTGAGTTGAAGGTGAATATCAAAGAGGCACAACACCGGATGGAGCAAAAAGCCAACGCTAAACGAAGAGAAGTTTCACTGAGTATTGGGGATATGGTGTTACTTCGGCTGCAACCGTATCGCCAATCCTCTGTGGTCGGACGGGGGTCTCAAAAGTTAGCAAGAAGGTACTATGGGCCGTATAAGATATTAAAACGTATTGGTAATGTGGCTTATCGTCTTGAACTGCCTGAAGGAGCAAAAATACACCCGGTCTTTCACGTTTCCAAGCTCAAGCCATACAAAGGTGAGGAAGAAATTAAAAGCTTTGAGTTACCAGACGAATTTGTTTCAGGGTGTCCAATCTCCAAGCCCTTGGCCATCTGTGCGTCACGACAAGTTCTACGCAAAGGGAAGATGGAGACTCAGTTACTTGTGCAATGGAGTGATAGTGTCCCGGAGGATGCCACTTGGGAAAATGCGGAGGATTTCAAGCGCAGATATCCACAGTTCCACCTTGAGGACAAGGTGGTTTTTGATGACGCGGGGAGTGTTATGCCCATACAAGACCAGATGAGGCCACATACAACGAATAAGGAACAAGAAGGTGATAGTCAAAATCCAGTTGTTGAAGATGACATAGTTGGAGGGGAAAACAGGCCAACAAGGATAAGGAAACCTCCAGGATGGCTTGAAGATTATTTACATTAGAATTATAGTAATCAGTTACCTAAGTTGTTTTATTGGCATTAGAATTATAGTAAGCAATTACCTAAGTTTGTTTTTGTTTTCCTTAAACAATAGTTGGAGTAGTACTATATATATTTCGTTAAGACTTTTACAGAAGCATAGCCTGGAATAAAACAATTCTTATTCTTCTCTCCTTTCTTATTCTTCTCTGTCTCTCTCCTTCCTCATCTTTCGCATCAGAATCCCAGTCATCACATCACCATTATTCAAGCTGGCTACTTCAAGCTTCAATTCTCTCATGTACCTAGCTCTACCCTTCAGTAAATTATTATCTGTAACGGTGGATGGTTGAAAACAAAAATGTAATTTTGTCTCAATTAAAATATTAATGTTGTCAATTTCATGGTTAATGGATATAATATTTAATATTAATTATGAGTTTAGGAAACATTTGGTCTTATTCAGGTCGGATTTTAGGCTGTGCAAATTGGACTACAGTACATGATTCTAAATTTTAGATGGCTCAATATTTAATTTTTACCTAACTAGTTTAGAAATAAAAATTAAAAGTTTTCTTTGGACACATCAACATTTTACCACCTTATTATTATTATTATTAGAAAAAATTACGGTATTAGTTTTAAAGATTGTGATTTTGGTAGGACCTCATTTATAACAGGATCACAAAAAGCGACAAATTATGATGTGAGCACGTGCCCACCATGCACGTGGTACGCACGAATCTATATTCATAATTTCTAGAATCTTGGTGAGCTAAAATTTATACTTTAGATTCATAATTTCTAAAATCGTTGAATCCATAATTTAAATCCATAATTTCTATACTACACTGAAAGTCTAGAAATTATGAATCTACAGTATAAAAATTATGAATATAGATTCATGCGCAGTATACAAGGTGGACATGTGCTCACAGTATAACAATTGACAAAAGGCAAAAAACCGGCCTGGGTCCTATTTTAACAATAATGTAACCGACCCGACCCGACCCGACCCATATTGCATGCTCCGTTTTAAGGATAAGATTAACATGCCTCCGTCATAGTATGCCAACTTTCTCACGTTTCCGGCTTTCCGCATGCACTACACCACCATTTACTCTCACGTACGTCACGGGTCAACACACACAAACAAAAACATTTTACTGTACGTTTTTTATTCTTCGTAGGTTAATTCCCAGAATTTATGTTTTGTGAATGATCCAAATAACATGAAAATTCAGTTCCATTCAATTTGAACCAATCCAAACCTGCTAATCGTAGCTTGTAGCTCAATCACATCTCAGTGGCTCTCGGACAGTAGTACTTAAATTATTATTATTAAAAAAAGAAAATCTAAACCAAGGGAAAATGACACATTTTCCTCCTGAGTTATATACTTATAACACTTTTCTCCCCTAAATTATTTAAGTGACTCTTTTTCCTCCTAAAATATTAAATAGACATATTTACCCTTAAAATAAATATTTCATTTATTTTTTCTTCTCCAACCAATTATTACTATAATTTGGTTCAAACCAAACAGATACTATAACAACCAAACCAAAATATTCCAATTGAAATTTAGAATCAAAACGCGATATTTAGAGTTTATTAAAATCGCAAACCGGAATGGCCGGTTCATGTTCCGAACTGAAAAAAATAAAATACATTTATTGTTGAATTTAGACTATTTTAAAATAAAAAATAAAATAAAGACGGTTCAAAATCGCGAACCGGATCCGGAACCATCGGTTCACGGTTCATGATCCAGTTTTTTTTTTTGTTCATAAATTTAATAAATTAAAATCCAAATATTGGGTTCTAGATCTGAATCATAACCGAAATTTTTTAATTCGATTGCTATAGTGTCCGATTCAGTTCAAACCGAACCGTGGTCATTGCTACATATACACAATAATTTGTTGGAGAAATAAACTAAATAAAATGTTTACTTTAAGGGTAGAAATGTCAATTTAACATATCAGGGAGAAAAATCACAACTTTTAAAATAATTGAGGGGGACTAATGTACTTACATAAATAATTGAGGGAGAAAATGTGCTATATAACTTAGGGGGAAAAAATGTCATTTTCCCCTAAACCAATGTTGAAAAAATCTCTAGGTGCTCTCTAGACGCTAGGGATCACTTAGGGCGCCTAGGCGCCGGGGATCACTTAGGGCGCCTAGGCGCCGATTGTGCCATCTTTGCAACACTTATCCAAACCATTTATCTCCATTTCTTTGTTCTTTCATTATTTCACTTTTAGGGAAAATGGCACTTTTTGCCCCTGAGTTATATACTTATAGCACTTTTTCCCCCTCAATTATTTAGGTAAGCACATTAGCCCCCTCAATTATTCTAAAAGTGGTGCTTTTTCCCCATGATATATTAAATTGACATTTATACCCTTAAAGTAAACATTTTATTTATTTTACTACTCCAACAAATTATTGCGTATACGTAGGGATGACCACGGATCGGTTTGAATTGAACTGGATACTAAAGCAATCAAATTAATAGTTTTCGGTTATAATTCAAATCCAGAACCCAATATTTAAATGTCAATTTATTAAAATTATGTATCAAAAAAATTGAATCTTGAACCGTGAACCGGCGGTTCCGGATTCGATTCGCGATTTTGAACCGTCTTTATTTTAAAATCTTAATTTTTTATTTTAAAATAGTATAAATTCAACAATAAATGTATTTTATTTTTTCAGTTCGGAACATGAACCGTCCGTTCCGGTTCACGATTTTAATAAACTCTAAATATCGAATTTTGATTCTAAATTGTAATTGGAATATTTCGGTTTGGTTGCTATAGTGTTTGTTTGGTTTGATCCAAATTATGGTCATAATTTGTTGGAGAAAAAAATAAATTAAATATTTAGTTTAAGGGTAAATATGTCTATTTAACATTTCAGGAGGAAAAATAGCCACTTCAATAATTTAGGGGGAAAAAATACTATAGGTATATAACACAGGGGAAAAAGTTCCATTTTCCCTTCACTTTTATATATATTTATAGTTATGCTATTTCTATTAGGATTTTAGTTATTACCATTGTGATTAGTTTTCCAAATATGACTACAATCTAGGCCTAAAATTATCATTTCTATAAACACACTTAGACTTGAATTACATGCTTCATTCTCTTCTCTCTGTCTTTTTTTTTTTTTTTTTTTTTTTTGAAAAAATATTCATTAACTAATTAATAAAATTATTATTATTATTTTTATATATAGAAAGTTCAATATATTCACGTAGCTCTGTTGAATGCTTGCATCACTGCATGGCAAAATATCTGATGAAGAGTGTTCATCATGCTTAGCATGTGCACCCAAGCCATTGTTTCTCTCTCTACTCTCTCTCTATATATAGCTTTACCGTAAAAATGCATTGTACTCATCCTTAGCCTTACAGAGCAAAACATCAGCTCCAACTAACTGTACGTTAAGTTACTGAGACTCAGCTAGCTTTCGGCAACTTTCCGTACTCTTCTTTGCTTCCATATATTCACAGTATATATGTATATAGCGTCCATATATATAACACCTTTGTTTGATGCTTACAGGCCGCCGGAGAACCATCTTAATTCTCATCATATCATCACTGCCGTTTTCAATTCGCTTCTCGGAGATGTGGATGCCATTGTTCTTGGTCGTCTTCTTTGAAGCAAGGTACTTAAAATCTTGATCAATAATCTATTCTGATAGATAGCAGAGTTTAATTTGTTAGTCCTGATGGATTTGCAGGAAAGTTTTGAAGTTGGATGATCTGGGTAGGGAGATACTGCGGGTGGCAATCCCGGCGGCTTTAGCACTCGCCGCCGATCCGGTGGCTTCCTTGATCGACACGGCTTTTATCGGCCATTTGGGTATATATATTTGTGTTATATCTTCTGTCCGGCCGGCCAGGTGGATCTGAGATTAATGGTTTGTTTGATTATGATAGGGGCGGTGGAAATTGCGGCGGTGGGGGTGGTGGCTTCGATTATAAACCAGGCGAACAAAGTGACGATATTTCCTCTGGTGAACATAACTACTTCGTTTGTTGCAGAGGAGACGACGGTTAAGGAGGTGGTTAATAATGAAGAAGAAGAAGAAGAAGGGGGTGCTGCCCAGATTGAGAGTGAAGAAGAAGAAGAAGGGTCAGAAGAGACAGGAGAATCTGAGGATGAAAGCATAGGGAGTGGTTATATGGCAAGCAGTGAATCAAATGGTTCTCCTTCCATCGATGAAATAACTCAGATTTCACTGCAAACTTGTATGTCTTCTTGATTCATTTGGCTTGTATTGAATTGGGATGAACTGATATGATCAAAAGTTGATGTTTTTGTTGTCAGATCTTGAGGAAAATGTGTCACCTAATGTGATCAATGAAGGAGAGGAGAGGGAAGTTAGACGTAGTGGGAGGCTGAAAGTTCCTTCTGCATCCACAGCTCTAATTATGGGGCTCATTCTTGGCATCCTCCAAACAGTGTTCCTCACACTTCTTGCCAGGCCACTTCTGGGCTTGATGGGGGTCAAATCTGTATGTTTCTCTGCTCGTTTCGTACTGAATTAAGATATATAACAGCTCTGATCTGATCACTTTTTGTACGGTTCGATCTTCTTGAAACATGTATGCATGCAGGGATCTGCGATGTTAGAGCCAGCACTGAAGTACCTGATTCTGAGATCAATTGGCTCCCCTGCAGTTCTTCTGTCACTGGCAATCCAAGGGATCTTTCGCGGTCTCAAGGATACCACAACCCCTTTGTATGCCACAGGTAACATTGATCTTAGCTGCTAGCTAGCTTAGCTTGCTGAAATTTCAAGAAATTTGAGATTTTCTTGCTGAACTCATATTAATTAGCTAGTTTTCTGGGCAAACAGCTGTGTGTGATTCAGTAAATGTAGTACTGGATTCTGTGTTTATATTGGCTTGCCATTGGGGTGTCACTGGAGCTGCCATTGCTCATGTTATCTCTCAGTAAGTTAGCCTTATCAGACCTAACTTTCTGTTCTGATTCATTGGTTTTCGATCGATCTTCACTCTTCAATAACTTGTTAACATATATTGATTAACAGGTATGTTATGTTACTGATCTTGTTCTGCAAGTTGATTACACACGTCGAGTTGTTGCCCCCGAGTTCGAGACATTTACAGCTGAGTAAATTTCTCAAGAATGGTAAGTAGCTAGTGACACATGAGATTCAATTCCACCATTATATTCTCATTAGTCTAGCTTCTTTCCTTGATCTGAGTTTTATGATATGATGGTTTGTTTCTATACCTGCAGGGTTATGGTTGTTTGCTAGGGTGATCGCCGCCACATTCTGTGTCACCCTGGCTTCTTCCTTTGCTGCTAGGCTTGGTGCCACAATCATGGCAGCTTTCCAAGTCTGTTTACAAGTCTGGTTGACAACATCTCTCCTTGCTGATGGCTTGGCCATTGCAGCACAGGTACCAGCTAGGATCAAACGTTTACCACTATGCATGTCAAAAATTATACGGACTACTTAGTAGCAACTTTATTGATCAATGCTTGTGTTTCATCTTATTGTGTAGGCAATTCTTGCTGGTGCATTTGCCCAGAAAGATTATCACAAAGCTAGAGCCACTGCAGCAAGAGTTCTTCAGGTACATATATATGCAGCCATACTGGGTAAACTCAGTCTTGTGGCCCTAGTGTACAAAGAGATAAACCAGCCTAGATTGCTTATAGTTGACCAGTTCAAACTGAGACAAAATGTGGTTATATTTGCAGATGGGAGTGATATTGGGACATGCCCTTGTTGTGTTGGTGGGAGTGGGGCTATACTTGGGACGAGGAGCATTCTCAGAAGACAAAAATGTTCTTCTCATGATAACCATAGGCGTCCCGGTATCTCCAATAACAACACAACCCATATATATATGCTAGCAAGCTTTCATCAATGGTGATTATATTCTTCAACTTTTGCACTGATTCTGCACAACTTCTTTCCCAGTTTGTTGCAGGCACACAACCCATCAACACGATAGCGTTCGTTCTTGATGGTGTCAATTTCGGGGCATCGGATTTTCTCTACTCTGCATATTCTATGGTGCTGGTGGCCTCCATCACCATTGGATCTGAGTTTCTGCTCCTCAAATCCAATGGCTTCGTTGGAATATGGATTGCTTTAGCCATATTCATGCTCCTGCGTACCATTGCAGGCTTTTGGAGGTAATTAATTTACAGTTTTCAGATTCAAAAACATAGCCAAATTAAGGTACCATAAAGCTAGACTCAATGTTTGTATATAATAATATGTGTTTTTTTTGCATGCATGCAGGTTGGCGACTGGAACAGGACCTTGGCGTTTCCTCAGGGCCCTGGATACTTAGCATATATAGTGTGCTTCTACTCCCCTTTCCCCTTTTGTAGACTAGATAATATAAATATAAATTTGTACTGATTAATGTATTTTGAGTTTGTTTAAAAACTTTTAATAAGAATTATTATAAGTTGCTTTATATGTTTACCTAAATGGAAACGCAACAACAACGTAACACAATTATGTAAAATTTATACCAACAACGTAGACGAGTTAGGTGCATGTTTCGTGCACATCCAGTGCAATGTATGTGCATTCGGGCGCGGCTATTTTAGAAAATCGTAAAAGAAATCGTCAACATTTTATTATAAATTTTACAAAAATAGTAAGATCGTGGATTAATTAGTTTACCTTTCTTGTATGATGTTTAATATGTTATGGAACAAATATGGTATTTTAATTTTAATTCTATACTAGAGAGTTATCAATATTTAACCAACATTTTTGTCTACAAAAGATTATTAAATTAAATGACAATGGTTTCATTTGAATCAAACCCATTACCTCCCAGTTGAGAGAGCATCTTCATGTCACTAGATCACAATTAAGGTCATTGACTTTATTATTTGTTCCTAACTTTATTATTATTATTATTATTATTATTTGTCTTTCTCTCTTAATTTTTTCCTTGTTTTCAGTAGGTTGTGAAAGTTGAGTACTCAAAAAAATTATACTTATTCCTAATCGTAACCGTTCCAATAGCAAATTCTTGTTCATAGGGAGGCAAAAAGAATGATGAGAATGGAAAAATAAAATTAAAAATAATAATAATAATAATAATAAAACTGACAACACGGAAAAATTAATGCTGAGAATATGGGGGAAAAAGAGAGAAAAACAAGAAAAGGAAAAAGGTTGGGAAAATATATATTCTTTTGATTTTTCTCTTTTTTTAGTAGTATTAACTTTAATTTGTTACAATATAGTATCTGTTATACATACTTTCTCGACCTAATGAAGCACGAAGAGTTCTGTCCTCACTGAGACTTAAACTCAGGACCTCCATTTAATTTGGGAGAGCCACTTCATGCCGCTAGATCACAAAGTCATTAGCAGCTTTCTCTCTTAATTTTCCCCGTCCTCGGCATTCTTTTTCCATGTTTTCAGTTTCTTTTTCTAGTACTATTATTTATTATTCTAAAATTCTCTATTTATATTTTTTTGGTGATTAATTATATATAAGTGCTTAGTAAATTGGCGAACTTCATCCACAAAAAATTTTCCCAACTTTTTTCTTTTTTCTTTTTCTTGTCTTTCTCTCTTTTTTCCCCCTACTCTCAGCATTAAATTTTCCGTGTTTTCAGCTTCTTCTTTTTTTTTTTTTTTTTTTTTTTTTTTTTTTCATTCTCATCATACTTTTTGTCGCCATAGCCTGTCTTCTTTCCCCGTACGTGCAGCGTACGTTCAACGTCGGGGCGGAGATATTTCTGAGTTGGAGCTGAGTAAGATTCCATGAAAATGAAGAAAGTTACAGAATTTAAGTATAGATATGAGGAAGACGACAGTTTGGAGAAGGGCAAGAATTATGGTTTGGAAAACAGAAAAATGAACATTTGAAAAATACTACAAAATTCTGGGAGGTTGTGGGTTCGAGTATCATTGGAAGCGGTATTGACTCTTTGTGCTTTAGTAGGTTGAGAAAGTAGTTATGAACATATACTACATTGTAACAAAGTCAGTAGTACTAAAAAAAAATTAGTTTTTTTTTTCGTGTTTTAATTAAATTAAATTTATTTATTAAATACAAAGCATATATAATGTTGGGATTATTTTTAAATTTTTTTTTCTTATTTTTCCATTCTCATCATTCTTTTTGTCTCCATATGAACAAGAATTTGCTATTGGAACGGTTACAGTTAGGAATAAGTGTAATTTTTTTGAGTATTTTACTTTCTTAACCTATTGAAGCACAAAGAGTCAATACTGTGTTTCACTGGGGCTCAAACTATGATCTCCTATTTGAGAGCGTCACTTTATACTACTAGACCACAAGGTCATTATTGACTATATAATTTCCCAACCAAAACAACAAGGGCATGTCCCAATATAATTTCAGTATGCAATAATAGAATAAATTAAATATAGTGGACATTACTATATGTATGGTAATACATACTTATATTATGCATGCATGCAGGTTGGCGACTGGAACAGGACCTTGGCGTTTCCTCAGGGCCCTTGATACTTAGCATATATAGTGTTCTTCTACTCCCCTTTCCCCTTTTGTAGACTAGATAATGTAAATATAAATTTGTACTGATTAATGTATTTTGAGTTTGGTTAAAAACTTTTAATAAGAATTATTATAAATTGCTTTATATATTTACCTAAATGGAAACGCAACAACAACGTAACACTACCAGCAACGTAGACGAGTTAGGTGCATGTTTCGGGCACATCCAGTGCAATGCATGTGCATGTATAAAAGTGACAATGCGCGGCTATTTTAGAAAATTGTAGAAAAAATCGTCTACATTTCATTATAAATTTTACAAAAATAGTAAGATCGTGGATTAATTAGTTTACCTTTCTTGTATGATGTTTAATATGTTATGGAACAAATATGATATTTTAATTTTAATTCTATACTAAAGAGTTATCAATATTTAACCAACATTCTTGTTTACAAAAGATTATTAAATTAAATGACAACGGTTCATGGCCACTAGACCACAAGGTCATTGACTATATATATATATATATATATATAATATATATTATATATATATATATATATATATAGTCAATGACCTTGTGGTCTAGTGGCCATGAACCGTTGTCATTTAATTTAATAATCTTTTGTAAACAAGGTCATTGACTATATATATATATATAGTATTTGTTCATAGTTACTTTCTCAATCTACTGAAACACGAAGAGTCTTGTCCTTACTGGGGCTCAAACTTATGACCTCCATTTAATTTGAGAGAGTCACTTCATGTCACTAGACCATAAGGTCATTAGCGCTCTTTCCCTCTTAATTTTCCAGTCCTCGACATTCTTTTTCCCTGTTTTCAGTTTCTTTTTTTTTTAGTATTATTATTATTTTAAAATTCTCTATTTCTATTTTTTTTGGTGATTATATCTAAGTGCTTAGTAAATTGGCGAACTTCATCCACAAAAAATTTTCCCGACTTTTTTCTTTTTCTTGTCTTTCTCTATTTTTTTCCCCTATTCTCAGCATTAATTTTTCCGTGTTTTCAGCTTCTTCTTCTCTCTTTTTTTTTTTCTTTAAAGTTTTTTTTCTTCTTATTTTTCCATTCTCATCATTCTTTTTGTCGCCATAGCCTGTCTTCTTTCCCCGTACGTGCAGCGTACGTTCAACGTCGGGGCGGAGATATTCCTGGGTTGCAGTAATTTAAGTATAGATATGAGGAAGACGACAGTTTGGAGAAAGGCAAGAATTATGGTTTGGAAAACAGAAAAATGAACATTTGAAAAATATCTTTCCATTAAGTAATTTATAGTTTGCCAAGTATCTCGGGCTCTAGTGGTACCATGTTGCTCTCCATGTGGGAGGCTGTGGGTTCGAGCATCAGTGGATGCGGTATTGACTCTTTGTGTTTTAATAAGTTGAGAAAGTAGTTATGGATATATACTACATTGTAACAAAGTTAGTAGTACTAAAAAAAAGTAATTTAGATTTTCTTTTCATGTTTTAATTAAATTTATTTATTAAATACAAAGCATATATAATGTTGGGATTATTATTATTTTTTTTCTTCTTATTTTTCCATTCTCATTATTCTTTTTGTCTCCATATGAACAAGAATTTGCTATTGAAGTACAAACAGTCAATACTGTTTTCACTGGGACTCAAACCTATGACCTCCTATTTGAGAGCGTCACTTTATGATACTAGACCACAAGGTCATTAGCAGAAATAAGTGTAATTTAGATTTTAATGATGTATGGTAAAAATTAAGGTTAGGGTTTAGGGGTTGTGATGTCATGAAAGCATCTAGTGAGTGCAGTGTGTGTATATATATGTAAAAGCAGCAATATAATACAAGTCCATCTTAGAAAATTAAGAAAGGAATGTCAAAATTTTATAGAAAATTATACAAAGACAGCAAGGTTGTAAATTTTCTTGCTGGATGATTGATATATTATTGAACAAATTTGATCTTTCAATTATAATTCTATATTAGGGAATTATCAATAATATTTAGCGATAGATCCTTATTGTTTAATGGAAGATTATCATATATAACTAAACAAAAATTGAATTCATCTTTTGATCTTTGTCAATTTTGTTCGATTTAATCTCTCATTCATAATTATATATCTTTCTTGGAATGAGAAATCTTTTTCTTCATACATGAACAAATAATGATGAATCCAATTATTATTTAGTTTGGTAAAGCTATATATATAGTTCTTAAATGAAGTCATTGTCATTTAATTTAATAATCTTTTGTTAGATAAGGTCGTATGGATCTATCGTTAAATATTGATAACTCGCTAATATATAATTAAAATTGAAAGTATTTGAGAGAAGAAGAATTAAAATTGAAAGATCAAACCGTCAAATAATATATTAAACATCAAACAAGAGTTAATTTCACTAGAAGTCCCTTGTTTTGGTGGCAATTTCAAATTTAGTCTTAGACTATCGTTTTTGTTATTTAATATTCTAGACTATTATTTTCAAAAATAAAATAAAATATCATGGACTATTATTTTTTGGACATTTTTAATCTTTCTCATGACTTTTCTTATTTTTAATAAGAATTTTTTGTCTTTTCATATTTTTCTTTTGTTATTTTTTCGGTTTAAATAGACTTAATTTGTTTAGAACTTTATGTAACCTCTGATTTTTTAGTAATTAACCATATGTTGGCAATAATTTCTCTTATAATTTTAAAAATGGCTGTGCATTATTGTCACTTTTCTGCACACATTGCACCGGATGTGCCCGAAAAATGCACAGTGAAATATGCACCTCATCTATAATTAAGCATCGCATTTACATAATTACATTCATTGTGCATATAAAGCGATTTATAAATCATGTTAAAAGTTGGACAAAATCAATGCAAAAACTCAAGA